AAATAAAGTTCTCACAGCCATTTTTTCCTTCTTCAACCACTCTTAAACGTAATTGACTTATACACCTAACTTAATCATTTTGATCCAGTCTCTTTTTTATTTTTGGCCTACCCTTATTTTAAATTTTATTTTCATAGACATGTAAATTGGAGAAAGAAGATACACCATTAGATTAATTAGACTGAGATGATGAGTATTCTTTCGGTACTCTTAATTGGTTATAAACTTGATTTGAGCTCTGGACGAATAAATTAATACTTTGTCTCTAGGAGTGGATCTTCCCGATACAAATTCAAATTAGTGAGCTCCTAAAGCAAATATCAAACAGGTACATACTGTTGGGTTCGAAAGCGAGGGTGTCATGCTTAAGTTTACAATTGCAAATAATATGATTGATAAATTAGACGACAAAAATTTATACTAAAAAATAAAATATTATTATATGGTTTAACCAATCGGCCTACATATGAAAAATTAATAAAAAGAAAATATTAAAACTTTTGAGGAAAAATTTCCCCATAAACAAAACTCTTTAAGGGACTACTTGTTATTCTATGAGAATATGAATTTTTAATTTATAGATCTCCAAGCTTTTCCTCTAAGGAAAGAATAAATAAATTATGAAAGAAAATTATATTTTCGTTTCAGAAAAAGTAAAAACAATTATGGTAATGCTTTAATTTTCTTTTAGGAAAAAATAAAATTCAAATAAGATAAGAAAATCAGGAAAAAATCCTAACACATATCAGGTGGAGTAAAAAAGGAGAAGAGAAAAATTGTGGAATGTAACTGAAACCCTAGCTACAGCTAATTAAGTAGAGTATTTGAGCTTTAATTAACATGAAAGAATATGGTTAGATAATCGAAATCCATTCACCCTACAAATTGCATGTGGAATTGGAGATGAAAGTATATATATCCCATCATACAGGTCCATCTAAAACAAATTAACATATAGTATAAATTTATATTGATAATTAGTCTCTATGTTTCATATTAGTTGTCACGCTTTCTAATGAAATCATAAATAAAAGCTTATTTTTCTATTCTTTACTATTGAGACTCACCAAAATTGTAGTAAAAACTATGGGAACTACATCGTTTAGATTAGTTCCTCTTTTGTATGGATAAACGTACCCTATTACTAAATAAATAAATCCTTCCAGTTTTTAAGAAAAAAAAATTGTAGTAAAAACTAAGGGCCACACAATTGCCTTTTTTTTTGTTTCCAATTTAATTTGGTCTTTCAGATTTGGTAGTTGACTTCAAAAGTCTTCAACTTTAAGAACTGGTCAAATTCAAGAAACAGTTACTATTTTGAAAATTATTAGAACTTTATTTTTTGTCATTTCATAATTAATCAGCTTACGTTCTAATTCATATAATAAGTGAAAATAATGTATGTATTTCCACGTAACATCATTTATTTTATTTTAAAAAATTCCCGCAATATATGATTAATTATTTCTACTAATGACTTTTTCCCTCAACTCTAAATTTAAAAGGTTCATTTTCAAGAAAAGACAGATTAATTACTATAATTAAACTTGACCCTTTCATCAAAAATTAACACTGAAACATGCATACATTTTTAGGCAAATATATACTTTCCTTTTTGGCTAACGTCCAACCAAAGTAATATTGACTTTAGAATATATCCATAAAATATATTAATTTTAATTTTCACATGCAAGTTGGATTAATAAATTACACACATTTCACATCAAAGTGCAATTTGAAATTCAGAAAAATAATAATAATAATAATTCAGTGGTTGAATAGTTCATTGTGGTAAACTCTCCTTCTTGCTAGCTAGGTTTCACCTGCTTATGATGACCAAAAACTCAAACCAACCAAAAAAATTATTATTTTAAAATAATAAAAATTAGAGGATGAGAGAAGAAAAAGAAAGAAAGAATTTTTTTTACTGTAAAGTAAATGTGAAACAGAGAAAAAAAATTGAGAGTTCACAATGACCTGCTTTTAACTACTGAGTAGTGCTAAATAATGTTAGATTCAAATCTAATGTTTTGCTCAACTTTACAGATACAATAGCATATTATTATCTAACATTTACGACTAACATAATTTTTTTTGATAAGAATATGATCTAATTAAATTCATAAATTGTAAGAGAAACAAAAAAAGGACCATTTATTAAATAACTATCCCAAAAAGGGACAATTGACAAAAATTTCCGCCTGTATTGGTCTGTGGCCTTATTGGACCAGGTTTGGCTCATAAAGAATAATAACACACCATAATCCGAGTGTCTTTGGATTGACTTAACTTTTTTGGAACCCCAGGATAACCCGCAGTTGCTATAACCTCTGTCACAGTCTCTGCCTTTCGGGTGAGCACTTTGTGCGCACTGAGTAAACCCCCCACTATGTAATAGCCTGCAAACCACACAGATGATGTAAATCACACTAGGCAAGCCCTATGCGACATGCTCAACTCAGGGGATTGACTTAACTTATTCACACATTATTCAATAATAATTAGTAGAGCGTCTTTTCATTTTCAACTCTAAGGTTATAAGTTTGAATACCAATGAAGCGAAAAAAGTGGGAAAGGTAGAATACCAAATAGCATAAAAATAAGTAGTAGCTAGGGCAACCAGGACTTAATTAATTTTGATAAATAATAAACCTTAAAACTTTCAATTAGCAACTAACTTAGTTTTACCACTTCAACAAGAAAACGAGTAGTTAATTTCCTTGCTATCACAAAATTTCAAAGATAATCTCTATGTAATTAAGCTCTTAAATTATCCACAACTAATATATATAAATATATGAGAATAAAAAAGAACAAGGAATTGTGCAAAACAATTAGTACTTTTGGTAGTATTATTTAATTTAATTTTATTTTTTTAGTATTTTCAATCTATGTTTATACATCCGATATTAATCTTATACATAGAAAATCATGATATTAACAATATAGAGTATGATTTCTATTCTAATTACCCTATTAATTTAATACCACATAACCAAATAATTGATAAAAATAATATCAATATAATTAATCTGATATATTAATACACTATATTCAATAATATTTTTATACACCTTATCAAACAACTTCTACAATATTATGAATATTCCACTATTCATGAACTTTCCCATCATAAGCTACTGAGTCAATGCATGAAAGACATGCAATACCAAATTAAAAGATATATATATATATATATATATATGATGTGTTTAGATAACAAAGTACTAACTAATATAAGTACCATTATTGTTGTGTGTTCATTGTTTCCAAATTTCTAACTAACATATTTCTTAATTCTTACTTAATTATTCTTATGGTTTGGTTTTCCAAGAAATAAACCCCCCTCTATCATAATCAGTTTAATAGAATTGGACACTGCCAGTCCCTCCTAGCTACTTGTGTTTTAAAAATCATAACTCATACTGATAAAAGTTCTTTTTTAAAATAATAATAATAATTAACCTACATTAATTTCTTCCCTTCAATTTTCTGAAAAATAATGTAGCCTTCTTTTCCTATTACAGTCAACTATATTAATTGCTATCATCTACTCCCTCCGTCCACTTTTATTTGTCATGTTGCGATTTTCGAAAGTCAATTTGACTGATTTTCAAAGTTAAATTAGATTACATTAATTCAATATTTTAAACAAAAAATTTAGATATTTAAAAGCTATATGAAAAGTACTATAAATTGCAATTTTTTGCACATCAATATGATGAAAAAATACATCTTAAAATGTTAGTCAAAGTTCCTATAGTTTGACTCTAAAAATAGAAACCATGACAAACAATAGTGGACGGAGGGAGTATAATAGTATTTTATTGTGTAGGGTCAAGTTTTCTTTCAATTCGATTTTTAATATGTTATATTATATATTTGTTTATAACAATATTTCACAATATAAAACAACAAAAAATAGGCTTAATTACATTGATAACCTCTTAAGTTATAAATTTGTCCCAAAAAACATTTAGATACTTAAATTACGTACGATCTGTTTCAATTGAGGACTTGAACATATGATAAAATATTTTTATTAAACTCGGTTCAAATTTTTTATATGTGTTCTTAAATGTCCATTATGTAGATAAGCCACTTAATGTATGTAACTTTATGAAATTATATGTATTACCCTCAATAAGTTGTAGAATCTCAAACATATTCCACTTAAGGATATTGTGTATAATTAAAAAAATGACATGTTTTATGTGATTAACTCATCTACGTAATGGTACCTGAGAACACTTTTTTTATCTTAAAAAATTGAACTAAAAATATCTAATAGGAACACTTAAGTGAATTGGAACATGCCGTACATAGTTCCAGTGTCTAAACGATATTTTTGTGTGGCAAATTTAAGAGGCTATTGATATAATTAAGCTAAAAAAGTATCCGGACAAACAACACCGTTATAAAAGTTACACTGTAAATCCAATCTTTGCCTTTCCATGACTCTAAAATCTCCAAAAGTACCTAGGACATTGAAAAACATGATGTGTGTATATACAAAATAATCCAATAAGTTTAGCTAATTTAATACCAAGCCCCTAAATTAAATTACTGAAAACCGTGTTTTTGGTGAGATCAGTAGCTAATGTCCATTAAACTTTCTAACAATTTGTACAACATCATCATTTTTTGTCTATAAGGTATAATATACCAATTTCCATATCTTATTTTGTTTAAAATAAGGATATAGACATAAAGACAAAGAAAACTCTAATTAGTAGTACTTCCCTTAAGAAAACTCCTAGGATTATATTAATTCTAATTACCAACTAGCAAATTATTTTCATAAAAAAAGATCAGCATTAAGTAAGATATGGTCAATATTTGAATATCCTAATTATAGTTGTCTAGTTCCTAATCACTATTTAATTTCATTAATTAAATAAAATATACTCTCTCTACCATCCACTTAGCTCCACCAAAAGCCATTTAAATATCAACCCTTTGTGGCATCTATCTAAACATATTCCAACTCAATACATTAACTTTGTCTTAAACCCTAAACTCCTAAAACTCATCACAAAATCATGAAACTCTACAACTTAGCCCTTTTTGGCTTCTTGTTCATCATTTTCTTCTTCTCAAAACCCTCATTTCAAGCTTCAATCAAATATGAACCAAACCCTAGACTTTTTGATGCTTACATAGCTCTACAAGCTTGGAAACATGTCATGACTTCCGATCCAAGAAACTTCACAAAAGATTGGTATGATTACAATGTTTGTAACTACACCGGGGTTTATTGTGCTCCAGCTCCAGATAACCCTAATATCACCACTGTTGCTGGTATTGACCTCAACCATGCAAATATCTCCGGATACTTACCTGAAAAACTTGGTTTATTGACTGATTTAGCCGTCTTTCATATAAATTCCAATAGATTTGAAGGCTCAATCCCGAAATCTTTTTCTAAGCTTCGAATTTTATTCGAACTTGACGTGAGTAACAATCTATTTTGTGGTGAGTTTCCTTCCGTTGTGTTATCTCTTCCTTCTTTGAAATTTCTTGATATTAGGTATAACCAATTCGAAGGAAAAGTCCCTTCAACCCTTTGGGATCGAACACTCGATGCTCTTTTCATAAACAACAACAAATTTCAATTTTCTTGGCCTAAAAACTTAGGTAAATCACCCGTTTCTGCTTTGGTTATGGCAAATATTAATGTAACGGGGTGTATACCATCAAGTATAGCAAAAATGTCGAAAACATTAAATGAGATTATTCTCTCGAATTCGAGTTTAAGTGGATGTTTGCCACAAGAATTAGGGTTATTGAAAAATGTTAGGGTTCTTGATGTGAGTTTTAACAAGCTTGTTGGTGAGTTGCCGGAATCAGTTGGTGGAATGAAGAAATTGGAACATCTTAACGTGGCACATAACAAGTTTTCCGGTGAGATTCCGATGAGTATTTGTTCATTACCAAAGTTGGATAATTTCACTTACTCTTATAATTATTTTTGTGGTGAACCAAAGATTTGTCTCAAGTTGAAGGATAGAAATGATAAGAAAAATTGTATACCATATCGACCATCACAACGTTCAGAAAGTGAATGTAAGACATTTTATTCACGAGGTCCGGTGGATTGTAGTTCATTTGGTTGTAGATCACCGCCACCACCGCCACCTCCACCACCACCACCACCGCCGCCGCCGCCACCTCCACCACCACCAAAATCACATTATTACCATTATCCTTAAAGTGATTGATGAGTTGTGTTTATTTGACTTTTGTTTGGTTTTACGTGATTGGATAGGTTTTGTATTGAAAGGGAAAAAAAGGAATAAAAAAAATTGTTCGTTGAATAAACTATACATGTATGAAAGTTAAGACTTTTTCTTTTTGTTATTGTTTATCACTTTTTGTATCATTGGATATATGCATTGACTGATTGTATTTTATTTAATTTCCCCTTCATCTTTTTTTGTGCAAATAATATGTACCATGATGTTCTCGTTATTATTTTTTATATAAATTATTAAATATGTATGAATCTTCAACCTTAAGCACTTCATTGGCTAATTCAAGTAGCAAAAATATAATTTGAAAACACACGCGATTATTGAAAATATGCACATTGCCTTTCATCTAATAGTCGAATGAGAATACACACAACTATTTTTGAAAAAATATAATTTGAACCAAAAATGTCTAATTGAAATATTTATTAGGAGTTGGAATATTTAATTAAAAAATGACTTAGTTCAAATAGTTAAATAAAATATCTTGACAAGTTTAAAAGGTTAGTTACATATTAAGCCTTGATTTTCTAAACGAAACTCTCTGCCCGCCTTGCCTTTCCATTGATCCATTGAGACAAAATTTGGAACTTTCTATCCTCTTGTCTAGCAGGTAAAGATTTACCTTTGTGGAAAGGATATATTCATTCGAATCGACATGAGAGTTCGACTACATTCTCAGAATTTATATTATATAATAATTAAAAGAGATTGACCTTCTTGCTTCTCTCATGTTACACTCCACTTCCCGCCAATCCCTTTTTCTCCTCGATCCACAAAGACAAAATATAAAAATGATGCCAATAATTCATCACGGAATAAATAGCTCACTAAATCGAGATCGCTAACTAATACTAACCCCCACCCTTCTCAACCACAGACCAAGAAAAGAGCCAATCGAGCCCACAAGCTTAAACCAATTTTTGAAAAAAGGCTGAGCCCATTAGTTAATAGTGAATAATAAAAAGCCTAATATCTGAATGGGCCAATAAGATCTCATTAGGGTTAAATTGTTAGGGTTTGCCATTGAAGCCGTCGTCGAGCTCACTATAGTTCTGTGTTTCTCTCTCTTACCATAGCTCAGAAGCTCGACCATGGCCGTCGGGTATACTCTCTTTCTCTCTCTACAACTCAAAATTCACCTTTTTGCAACATTTATGCTTCAATGTACAATTATTTTTTTATCTCTAACTTTTTTTGCAATTTTGTTGTATTACAGTAAGAACAAGCGAATTTCCAAAGGCAAGAAGGGAGGAAAGAAGAAGGCGTAAGTTCTTTTTTCCTTAGTTTTATACCAAAGTTTCAATCTTTTTTGTTAAATATGTTTTAAATGTTTATTTTGTCTAGTCACCTTATCAGTATTGCTATTTTAGTATAGTGTTACCTATTGTTTTCATTGCTTCAGTTATCGTATTATTTGGTTGTTGTTACTGGTTGCATTTCCGTATTTCCTTTTTCAAAGATATGAGCCAAGGGTTTATCGGAAACAGCCACTCTATATTTTACTCTCCCCGTACCCCGTTGTGAATTACACTGTGTATGATGATGTTGTATTTTGTTGATTTGATTCTTTTTGGTGGATACAGAGCTGATCCATATGCTAAAAAGGATTGGTATGATATCAAGGCTCCATCAGTATTTGGTGTCCGCAATGTAGGGAAGACCCTTGTAACCCGTACACAGGGTACAAAGGTAATTATTTGCTTTAGTCTTAATTTTAAGAATATCATACATTCACTATATAATATATATTTTGGAATGTTAGAGATACATAGGTATTTTAGTGGTTTGCTTATGTGGTTTTGAATATTGGCGAGTAATTGAAGTTCTCTTTGATAGTTTTTTCCATTGACTAATTGTTATTTATCATCAATTGATGACGTTTAGTGGCTTAGAAACAGCTGAAGTTTGATCTGATGTGTCATTGTGCTAAATATAGTGGAATTAACTTATCGTGTAGCTGAGAAATTTGCAAGTTTTGTGATTTTAGAATCTTCATTTAACTTCTTCTTAAACATGGTTAAGAATGTTGACTTTAGTCATTTGATTGGATTGAGAAATCTAGATGAAGCTTGACGTATGGGGAAGGTCTCTGCTAGTGAAAATGCTAACTATATTATATGAAAGTGAACTTTGCGTAGCAAAAATAGTGCTGTCTCCTAGAATAGAGTCTCCTAGAGTAGAGAATGAACAATTGAGTTCAAGCTCTATTTTGACATAAATTCGGAATAATATTGGAAACCTCTTCTGAGTTTTGAGTCAATTGGACTAAATTATGGGCATAGTATTACTATCTTCTTGAATTCACAATTGTTAAGGTATTCACCCTTTTTTTAGCCATAGTAGTTGGTGTGAATTGTGAACTATATATAAAAAAACACGATGTAATGAATCTTAATGTTATTCCTTCATTCCAGATTGCTTCAGAAGGCCTGAAGCATCGTGTGTTCGAAGTGTCATTGGCTGATCTTCAGAATGACGAAGATCACTCCTTCAGGAAGATTCGTCTGAGAGCTGAAGACGTCCAAGGAAGAAATGTCTTGACAAACTTCCATGTATGACAATGAACTAGACTTTTTTTTCTCCTATTCTTTATCAAAATCCTCCTACCAACTTTTTTTGGTTAAAATGGTCAGGGTATGGACTTCACCACAGATAAATTGAGGTCACTTGTAAAGAAATGGCAATCATTGATTGAGGCTCATGTTGATGTTAAGACAACTGATAGCTACACCTTGAGAATGTTCTGCATTGGCTTTACCAAAAAGCGTCCAAACCAACAAAAAAGAACCTGCTACGCACAGTCAAGCCAGATTCGCCAGGTAAATGCAAATGCTTGTTCAAATCTTAACAAGTTTTGTTCCAATTGTGATATAGCAATATTAGTTGTGTGATAAATGGAAATGCTTGGTTTAAATTTTCTCAACTATTCATTTTGATGTGCACAAGTCAGAAGCAATATAAATAATGTAGGGATGAGTACTAGTGCTTACACTTCCCCATCCTGTATTTTGCTAAAATCATTGATCTCTACTCTCTTTTCAAAACAATTGTTTTTAGATTCGTCGCAAGATGCGTGAGATCATGGTTAACCAGGCACAATCGTGTGATTTGAAAGACTTGGTCCTGAAGTTTATTCCTGAATCAATCGGTAGAGAGATTGAGAAGGCAACTTCAAGCATCTACCCTTTGCAGAATGTGTTCATTCGCAAGGTCAAGATCTTGAAGGCTCCTAAATTCGACCTTGGGAGGTTGATGGAGGTAATTTTGCTGTTCCCATCTCCACTAATATTAATTTCCATTTCTTGTCACTTTCAGTATTACTGAACTCCTACCTTTTCAGTATTAATGTGGAGATTACTGTTTCTTGGTTGTGGTAGGTTCACGGTGATTACTCAGAAGATGTCGGTGTGAAGGTGGATAGACCGGCAGAGGACGTTGCAACTGAGCCAACTGAAGTAGTTGGAGCTTAAATATGTTAAAGATTTTCATAATCTGTTTTATGAACTTGCTTGTGGCTTAAATAGTTTTTCACTAAATGAGTTAGTAGGTTACCTTCATGTATTACTTATTTTGTGTTTCTTGAGAGTTTAGGAACAGATTCAGAAGGAAATTTTACACTACATTATATGATGTTTCCCAGTAAAAATGGGTAGTAATGCTTTTACAGTTTACCCACTCTATTTTTAATTTTTGCTTTGTGTAATTGTCTTAAATCCACCAAAGTAAGATTTTTCTGATAGAAGCCTCTGAACTCACTTTGTGAAAGTGAATACATATATGGGTCATAAGAATTACTCCAGTATTCACTTGGAAGAATTATAAGTTATTTGAAAATTAATGTGTGATATGAAAATTTAAATTTCAAATTTGTTTATATTAGTACATTCAAGTATGAACAATACTTCTAATATTCTTTGCTTAAACGTCAACTAAATACAATTTTAATTTTAATAATTTCAAGTAAAAACGCCCACTTAGAGTTTCTGGTGGGTGGAAATAAGCATTTTAATCTTGGATAAATTGTAGAATATGTTATTATTAGGTTGGTACAATCTTTATTTTTGTATTATTTCTATTTCTCATTCTATGTGATGAAAAAGTATTCTCTGATTATTAATTCCGGGAAATTTTTAGAAAAGATAGGTTAAAATTTGAAATAAATTTATTCTAATTTATCTTTCTTTAAACCAAATACACATTTGAAAATATACTTTTGTATTTTTTATTTTTAATTAATTAATGTAGTGAACCAAATACCTAGACTAGATTATGATATTGCAATAACTTGTTCCCATTCAAATGATCCCTTGGTGTCTGATCTTTAGATTAGACTTGCGGTGTTTCAATATAAAAGAAAGTGTATATACCTCTTCACTGGAGCATTCATGCTCCTCCTCACATGTCAAAATTATCTCAGCCTCGTTTTTTCATTTTGGCAAAAAGAGAGAGAAAGTAGCTAGTTAAGAGACTTGCCGAAATGTATATGCAAAAGCTGAAGCATAGTAGTGGCTCCATGCAACACCTAATATTAGATACCATCAAACTGATAAGAGTTTCAGAAAGATTAAAATTACAAAACACAAAAGCATTGCTAAAATTCTTTAGGCAGTTAAAGGTCTAAATAACTGAAATAATAGCAATGAGAACAAAGCTTATTTGGAATTAGATCCAACCTAACTCTTAACACTTCCCCTAAAACTAAACAAGAATCAGTTTTTTTCAAGAAAAGGTTAGAACCATTAGACGCGATATCTGATGCTGCCATTATTGCTGCTGCTGCTACTGGAAGGTCTAAAGCAACACATAGGACTCTTCTTTTTCTTCTCGCTGTTCCTCCTCCCAATATAGATGAAGTTCTTCAGTATGATCCCCGTGCTGCTCCTGGAAAATTTGCTCCTAACTTTGCTTTTCTTTTCGTCATCCAGTTTCAGCAAAATGTACTGAATTTTCTGAATCTC